AAGGTTTTATTTTTTGGTCCAAAAACCTGCACACAGAATCTCTCAGAATATAATGTGCATCGAGAACAGGGTATATGCAGGAATCTTGAAGTTAATTTTAATACCTTTTCAAGACTTTTTCAAGACCTTCTCAATATTTTTTAATACCTCACCGCCACTTCAAGCTGTAACCATTTACATCAGTGATACTTTTAACTTAACAGTTTTAGTTCGTGATAAAGACTATAGACCACTCTGATAAAAAAAAAAAAAATCAAATAGGCTGGGATAGTAAATCAAAGCAAAGTTTATTAAAAAACAAAACAAAACTTTGCTCCACCCTCAACAACAATCATGCTGACATGTGCCTCAGTTCTTTGTTTAAAAAAAAAAAAAAAAAAAAAATGACTAAATTCACACACTTTTACGATGTTTTAGGGACTCAAACTGTTGGACAGCTAATTCAGAAAAAATTAGGGATGCACCGAAATGAAAATTCTTGGCCGAAACCGAAAACCGAAAAAGAGGAACCCAAGGCCGAAAAAACGAAAAACGAAACACCGAAAGAAATTATGCCAATTATAAGTACCATTGCATTTATGGTTATGACTGTGTACAAACTTTACTAAAATTAAGGCATTGCAATTGCATAAATTAACATTTTCAAAGAATAAATCAATTACAAATTATGCAAATCTTTATTTAGCACAATGCACTGTATAAAATAAAATTCAAACTAAAATGTTTAACTTGACCCCACTCATGTGTACATTAAATAATAATCTGCTGGCCTGCAGAAAGGTTTTAAAATGAAATGTTCTCTCATAAAAACAAAGCCGAGCACGAACTTCTCATCACACCAGCACCCAGTTTGCACGTCTAAATTAGTTAATTACATTTTAAAAATGAGCATACACTAGCATAAAAAGCCATTTTAATGAACAAAGGTCCATGTTTAATACAAATGTACACGAAACTTAATGAAATATGTTTAGTGAAATTAGAAAATATTTAAGAGAGCGTTAATTTAGAACATATTCCTATACATATTTTTTTGTAATGTCACAAGTAATAATCTCAGGGTTTACTGGGTTTTACATGATTATTTTTGTATTGGTGGTGGTACTGAAAAATAAACATTGTCACGTGTTTATCTTTCTTCTTCTCACCGATTCCTGATGGTTAGAGGACAGTTACTTTAGTCGTCCCCTGTCGTTTCAAAGAATAGTACAACGGCGAGCGCGTCAGGTATAAACGCCTCGACCGTTTGGAGAGGTGCGCGCGCTGTCTGTGGAGACTCGCGCTGCGGAGGCAGGCGAGAGTATAAACAAGGCTTCCGTCTCCTCGCGGGTTCAGATATACTGAAATACGTCCACACCGCCGACATGTTGCTTCAGACAAGCACGTGCAGGTCGCGCTTTCTGTTTGCGTCATCACAACATTTCGGCGATAAAAGTCTTTTTTGGTGATAAAAGTCTGGTGATATTGTTTCGGTGATAAAAGTCATCCCTAGAAAAAATACTTTCAAAATTTAAGACTTTATAAAGCCGTGATAAGACTTTTTAATACTTTTTAAGGGTCTTAATTTTCCCAAAATTGATTTATCACCTTTTAATACTTTTCAAGACCCCGCGGATACCCTGGAGACAGGGACGTGCACAGGGGGGTTGCTCAGGTTGCCCGGGCAACTGCCCATATGCCCTTCTCACTCAAGTTGCCCTTCTCACTCAAGTTGCCCTTCCGAGAAAAAAATTAAATCGTACAATGGATGCAGAATTTCACGTAGGCCTAGATTAAAAAAAAAAAAAAAATCGCAAAGCCTCATTCACTTCCATTCGGGCACCGAAAGTGAAAGTCAGTATGAAGGGCAAACGCTGCACGCGACCATAGACTGCACGCGACCGGCGTTGGGCCACGCAAATTACTTAAGGCCACGCCTCCATCTCGTGTCATAGTCAAATGTGTAGCTACAACATCTACGACAAAATGAAGCGAAACTATCCTTCTGGTCACGAAAAGAGGAAGAAGAAAAAAACCATGAGAGTGAATTGCGGGAACAACAATCAGGTAAACTTGTGTTCTCTCCTCTCTAAGTTTGATGTCAGCAAAGTTTGATGTTTTTCGGTCTTGCTAACCTAGCTGGGCAGGCAGTGCATCTCTTGCATCACTTTGTGGCTGACAAAAGTGAGAGTAAAATACAATTATTTATTACGTTTGATTTTGATAAACGACAAAGTGCAACGGTGTTTTTTACTGCAGCTCGGAAAACATAACCACGTCGCGTGTGTTATCATGCGTTCATATGCGCGTGCAAGAAATGAAACTCGCATTTTTCAAGCAGAAATATGTGGAGACCAGACATACTGTACAATACATGCACGTGAATGATGCCACTCCCAATCAAAGTACACATTATACTTTTAAAACAAGACACTGATTATCAAGTCTCAGTGTAGTTACAAACTCTAAACAACTGCACTAATTATGCAAGATAGAAAGCAATGTATTGACAATTTGACATTGATTGACTATTCATTTATAGGCTATATTGAATTAAAAATGTTGATTAGCTGGACATACTGGTCAAAATGGATGCACATCCCTCAGTAAATAATAACCATAAATCAAGAATTGCTTCAACATGCATAATAAAAAAAATAATAAAAAAATCATACTAATGCCGAAAATGCCCAGGCTGTAGAAAGAACCAAAGTTAATCCCAAAAGCCAAAGCTCAGGGTTATTATTTATTATTTTCTTCTTATTTATGTTTACGTTAATATTCACTTACTTAATAATATTCACTTATTATCTTAACATTCTATAGAAAATACTCTATTCAATAAATATTGTGTGTTTGAACCTCATTCTGTTCTATATTGTTGTACTTATTATTTGACTGTTTTGTTTAAAGGGGGGAGGATGGGAGTGCTGAAGTGTCAGGTGTGACTGTGGCAATGGCAAATGGTTTACATAGCTCATGACATCAGAGGGCCCCTTAGCAGAATTAGGCTTAGGGCCCGAGGGGGAGGTCAGGATCGGCACTGGGTTTAGCAGTCGATTCTGTTCCTTACCGGAATTCCTGTTCCCTTTACGCAATCATACTACAAATCATGCGTAGTTGCCCAGATGAGCAAAAAGCACAATTGAATGTACGGGAAGCCAAAAGGTTAAAAAAGGATTGTATTTTTTCCGAAATCTAAGCGTTTTTATTTTATTTTATTAGAAGCGAGTTTTTCCCCATCTGTCAATTCAATCCAGATTATTTATTTAAAAAACAAAATAAAATAATAATAATAATTAAAAAACAATAAACAATAATATGAGGAACTCTTTTTCTCATGTGTATTTTGGTGACATTTAACATATTGTTAATACATTTTGTATACTGTTTACAAAGTTGTATATCATAAACCTGTCATCTTTGACGTTTGCAATCTTTATAAATAATAATAAGACCATAATATGAGGCATTGCGTTTGGAAATAAACACGATCAGATAAGGCAATTTGTATGGGCAAAATTCAACTGAATATATTCCTTCATATAGCCCGTGAGTTTTGGGGGTAGTGCCCTTTTTTCAGGTCAGAGCAACTGCCCCACAAAATTCCTGTGCACGTCCCTGCCTGGAGAAGGATGATACTGATACTTCATCCTCTCCTGGGAGCTAAAAATGATTCCTGATGGTTTCACTCTTAATTCTTCACCATAACTCTTCATTCTTTTGCAGTAAACGTGTGTCTTTTCTTCTCCACCTGTTTTTGTCTGACCCTGCTGACCCAATGAGCATCTCACGGTCCAATAGTCAAACCTAAACTGCAATTTATAGTATTGCATCTCATGGGCATTTAATATATTTTTTTTTTAAATAAACTGTTTTTTTGCTAATTAGATCTGTAAAAGAAAACATGCCTAATAATTATGCCCACCTGAATATAAGGGGTTATTCATTTCCAGCCTTCATGAACACTTATATATCACTTATAAATAATTAATACTAAATTAATAGTAGTTATTAAGATTACTGTATTTGGAATTGGTAAAATGTGCCTGGAAAAAAAATATGATCAGAAAATCAACGTGCCTAATAATTCTGCACTGTATTAGACAGACGCTTGTCTTTCGAATATCATATTTCATAAGTTACTAGGGGTGTTACGACACCCTCATGTCACGATTCGATACATATCACGACACTGAACTCACAATACAATATTATTGCGATACTCCAAGACATATGATAAAAGGTTAACACATTTATTTTTACTGTTGATTAAAATGCTGAATTTGATGTTTCATTGTGTGTGTAAATGAATAGACTCGGACTTGGTACTGAAACCCAACGCAGGACAATAGAGACACCAGAATAACAATATTCATGATTCTGAAGCTGAAAATACAGAATTATTTTAGACAAATATGCTTGCACTCTTTCACTGACTAGATATATTAAATATAATGTAGCCACTTATTATTGGTAACATCAGACATTTGGCATTATCAGGACACACAAATATCCCCACATGTAATTATTATACATTATATTCAACATTATATATAGTAGTTTAATGTAGTACTGACACTAAACTCTGAAAACGTGAATTTTTTCACACACAGTAATTTGTATTTTGGGTGAACTATCCATGATACATATTGTTGCATTTTTGTATTGTGTTGCATTTTGAACAGCCTTCTTCCTCCTTAGAAACATCATGCACATCTCGTCACAAAACAACACAACGCGAGCGTATGCATTATCATCAGAGCATCATCACTCTCTATATGATAACACGTATATGAAGAGCTGCTGTTTTCAGCACGTTTCCTGCGGCACGAATAATGACTGCGGCTGAACAATGACACGCTGTCACACACACACACACACACACACACACACGCTGAAGTCGCATTACCAACAATGCATCATCACAGGCTGATGAGACCTTCATGTTATTAACGCATGCATGCATCTACAAACACACGTAACACACATGAACAGGCAGACGCAGCGCAGCATCTTACCTCCTCCTGCACCGGTGCAATGCACTCAAACAACCGTCCGATCAGCTGAGTCAGTGGGGGAGGGGCGAGAGACACAGACAGAGAGAGGGAGAGAGAGAGAGAACTGCGATGGGCAGCACGAGCCAATCAGAAGAGCAGCACGAACATGCATTAACAGGAGAAGAGAGAGGTCGAACCTTTACGATCGCAGTTTAATGCAATGTCGTTCATTGAGGCGAGACACTACATGCACAAATATTGTTTTATCATGCACCGCTCAGTTTTGCTTCCATAGCATGCGACTAAACATCCAAAATACATTTTATTGCACTTGATCTATATTTGCATATATAGATTTCAATCTAAATCCATCTCTTTAAAGGTGGCGAGTTTGAGTCAGAAATCTCATTACGCACACTAAACTTTACGGTTTTATTCATATCTATATTCTGAAGGTTTGTTCACATATCATTCGCCTGATTTATACAATATATATATATTTTTTTAGCTCTAATATGTCAACAAAATCAAACAGGAATTTAGAACCTGGCTTCATCCAATGTTCGGATTTCTGTTCTATAAATGTATGCAAATTAGAGCACATTTAAAAAAAGATAATGCCTCATTTGCATATTTAAATATTTTAACATTTCCGAAACTTGTAATACATAATAATTGTCTTAATGTACTGTAATTAATAGTTTTTTCTAATAGATAACTAACAGATCTCACCATACTTTGCCTAGTTGATTAGTCTAAGAATTTCTAGGTTTTATTGTTGTAAAGTCAGAAGAGCTTGAGATGAGCAGCACTGCAGCAGGTTAATGGGAGGAGCGTTAGTACAACACACACACACACACACACACACGAGCGTACACACACACACACACACACGAGCGTGCACACACACAAACAGCACATACTCCTACTCAAGTGCACGTGCACACACACACACGCACATACGCACACACGCACACGCACACACACAAATACATAATGCACGCGCACACACACACGCGCATGCATGCACATACACAGACACTCAGCATATACACACACACGTGCACACGCACACACACACACACACACACACACAAACACATAATGCACGGTGCACGCACACACCTCTTACCTTGGCACGGTGCAGGTCGACTCCGTACATGGAGAGTTTCTTTGCGTTTTCCAGGAACATCATGTCAGCTTCAGCAGGAGTCATTCCTCTATAAACACACACACACACACACACACACACACAGATTATTGCTGACTGAAGCATGTTAACACACACCAACAGATGCTGCGAGTTTGCAGTTGGACTACTGAACAACTTATAGGAATATGAAGCTTAACGTCACACTCATTTGTGTTAATTTTGCAACATTTACTTAATTACTCAGCATGACAGATGACTGACACACACACACACATACACACACACACTGTGCTTACAGCCAATATACACACAACACTCTGTTTTGCTTGAGTTTCTGTGTATGCCAGTAAACAAAGCAGGGCATTGTGGGTCGGGACAGGCGCGGACACAGGCTCAGTGAGTCTTTGTGCGATCGGACATTGACTGACACTGATCTATTCATCATTAATGCGCACAATAATCACAGCAGCACATGGAGATCTATGAACTGATCTGTGTCTCTACCAACGACTGTGTGCTGTTATTGTTAAATTAAACTGTTAAAAAACATTTTCGTCAATTGAAAAGGTGGAAATAAAATAAAATAAAATAAAATATCCTTGCTATTCATTCGAACACAAAAGAAGATATTTTAAAAGAATGCCGGTAACCAGATAGTTGCCGGCAGACATTTGAACTCAATGTTACTGGCATTCTTCAAAATATCTGCTTTTGTGTTCGGCAGAACAAAGAAACTCATACAGGTTTGGAACAACATGAGGGAGAGAAAATGATGACAGAATTTTCATTTTTGGGTGAACAAACCCTTTAAATGTGACGTGACGGATCAGTTAAGCAGCAGCGCGAGTCTTTTCTTCCACTTTACTACAAGTTATAGCACAAAAAAACATGCATGAAACTCAGAAGGAATGTTGAAAGATACAGTACAACTTATTAAAATTAATCAATCAGTGCTTCAACGTGGAAAGACGTCAATAAAACAGCTTGTGAACTTAACGTTGCATTCACTTCAGGAAAGTTATCCAGTTCACAGTTCTCATCTGAATGAGTCATTCTGAATAATCGGCTATCGGCTAGCGGCAGATATCATTCTGAATAATCGGTAGATATCATTCTGAATAATCGGCTATCGGCAGATATCATTCTGAATAATCGGCTATCGGTAGATATCATTCTGGATAATCGGCTATCGGTATCGGCAGATATCATTCTGAATAATCGGCTATCAGTATCGGCAGATATCATTCTGAATAATCGGCTATCGGCAGATCTCATTCTGAATAATCGGTTTTCACAGATATCATACTCAATAATTGGCTATCGGTATTGACAGATATCATTCTGAATAATCGGCTATCGGCAGATATCATTCTGAATAATCGGCTATCGGTAGATATCATTCTGGATAATCGGCTATCGGTATCGGCAGATATCATTCTGAATAATCGGCTATCAGTATCGGCAGATATCATTCTGAATAATCGGCTATCAGTATCGGCAGATATCATTCTGAATAATCGGCTATCGGCAGATCTCATTCTGAATAATCGGCTATCAGTATCGGCAGATCTCATTCTGAATAATCGGCTATCGGTAGATATCATTCTGAATAATCGGCTATCAGTATCGGCAGATATCATTCTGAATAATCGGCTATCAGTATCGGCAGATATCATTCTGAATAATCGGCTATCAGTATCGGCAGATATCATTCTGAATAATCGGCTATCGGCAGATCTCATTCTGAATAATCGGTTTTCACAGATATCATACTCAATAATTGGCTATCGGTATTGACAGATATCATTCTGAATAATCGGCTATCGGCAGATGTCATTCTGAATAATCGGTTTTCACAGATATCATACTCAATAATTGGCTATCGGTATTGACAGATATCATTCTGAATAATCGGCTATCGGCAGATGTCATTCTGAATAATCGGTATTGACAGATATCATACTCAATAATCGGCTATCGGTATTGACAGATATCATTCTGAACAATCGGCTATCGGCTATCAGTAGATATCATTCTGAATAATCGGCTATCTGTATAGGCAGATATCATTCTGAATAATCGGCTATCGGTAGATATCATTCTGAATAATCGGCTATCGGTAGATATCAATCTGAATAATCGGCTATCGGTATAGGCAGATATCATTCTGAATAATCGGCTATCAGTATCGGCAGATATCATTCTGAATAATCGGCTATCGGCAGATATCATTCTGAATAATCGGCAGATCTCATTCTGAATAATCGGTTTTCACAGATATCATACTCAATAATTGGCTATCGGTATTGACAGATATCATTCTGAATAATCGGTATTGACAGATATCATACTCAATAATCGGCTATCGGTATCGGCAGATATCATTCTGGATAATCAGCTATCGGTAGATATCATTCTGAATAATTGGCTATCGGTGCATCTCTAATCTTAATGATACTAAAATAACACTGCTCTGAACACTACACCACAAATCTGAGCATTTGAGCGTCACACATGGCTGCTCGAAACGATCTGACGGAGTTTCTGTGTCGTAAAGCGCGGGTAAACTCACTTGTAGTTGCGGTGTAGCTCCAGCACTTTCTCCTCCAGCTCTTTGGTCTGGTTGGGGGCCAAACGCACGTCGCTGATATAGCCGGATCCCTGCATGTCAGGGTCGTAGTCTCCCAGCTCAGACTGAACCGTGTAGGAGCCCAACACAGTGTGAGTGGCGAAAGAACACGGCAAACGCCCGGACACCACGTCATCTCTGAGCTGCAGACACAGGTAATACCTGGGAGAGAGATTTTACATTTACCTTTTATGACACAAAGAACAACAAAACAAAAAACCTTTTCTACATTAGTAGAAGAGAAAAAAATATTTTTCCATCAATAACAGAGCCTCATTCCACCATTCCATTTCAAATGTGATAACGTCATCCATGGAACTATAAAAATGAAAGTCAATGAGTATCCTGGATTTAACTGTCACTAAAAACAGAGTATTAATATCTTGATCTGCACCCAGTTCTATCTCGTTTTTTCTACTCGTATAGATTGCTAACTTTGCTTGACCTATAAGAAAATTTAAACACTGGCAAATAAACCTATTTCTTCTAACAGAGAGAGAGAGAGAGAGAGAGAGAGAGAGAGAGAGAGAGAGAGAGAGAGAGAGAGAGAGAGAGAGAGAGAGAGAGAGAGAGAGAGAGAGAGAGAGAGAGAGAGAGAGAGAGAGAGAGAGAGAGAGAGAGAGAGAGAGAGAGAGAGCACAGGCTGGGAATGTTTACACCACCAGTGTTATTTAAGTCTCACTGATATATTAATTTCATGATTATTTATATAGCGCTCTTCACAGTACATATTGTTTCACTGAAAATGCTTGTTTCAATGTTCTGGTTTAGTAAGTATTCTGTTTTCAGTCAGCTATAATATAGTATAATATAAGAATAATATTACAATATGGCTGGATTGAAAAAAATAGACTATATGGTATTATAGGTTTTTTTTCATATTTTGATTTCATTTTTATTTTTTTGTATTATCCATTTTCATTTTGGTTAAAGTTTTAGTATTTTTATTGTGTGCTTTAGACATGTTTTATTAGTTATTGTTTTTATTAGGGCTGTCAAACGATTAATCGCGATTAATCACATCCAAAATAAAAGTTTGTGTTTACATAATATATGTGTGTGTACTGTGTATAATTATTTTTAATACATAAATACCCACACATGCATGTGTATTTAAGAAATATTGGCATTTATATACTGTATATAGACTGAATGTAGCCTATATATAATGTATATTTTATATAAATATAAACATTTTTTATATAAATAACATTTTTCTTAAATATATACATGTGTGCATTTATATACAAAATAATTATACACAGTACACACACACATTATGTAAACACAAACTTTTATTTTGGATGCGATTAATCGTTTGACAGCCCTAGCTTTTATTATTTAAAAAAAAAATAAGTTTATGCAGTTAATTTTTATTTCAGTTCTAGTTTTACTACATCAAGGTAAACTACCGGTAATCAGGCTTTAGATTTTTAGGGCTTTTAGGATTTAGATTTATTTGCCAATATTTTGGTTATCAGCTTTCAAATGTAAATAATTATCAGTAAAAAATGTTACATCGGTGCATCCCTATTCTTAATTACTTATTTCAGTTATATTTTTACTACATTAAGATAAACTAAATAAAAATGAAAAACGTTGCCTTTGCAACCAGCCGAAATAAAATAAGTCTAAGTTGTTCATATTTTATTTTATTACAGATTTGTGACAGTATGTCAATTTTTTTTTTGTTATTTATTATTTATTAACACTTTATTATGAGGTTTCATTTGTTAACATTAACTAACTACATTAGATAACATGAACTAACAATGAACAATACTTCTACATCATTTATTAGTGTAAGTTAATGTTAATTTCAACATTTACTAATACAAAATAAGTTTAAATTACAAATTGTTATCATTGGTAAATGCGCTGTGAACTAACATGTAATTTTATTAACTAACATTGAAAAGAATTATTACGTTACAGTCATTTCATGTTAATTAGTACATTAATTCATGTTAAAAATGAGACCCTATTGTAATGTGATACAATTTCCTGGGTATTCATTTTTATTTCAGTACATCAAGTTAAACTAAATGAAAATAAGAAAAGTTTTTTATATTTTATTTTAACTACATGTTTGTGGAGCGTCAGTTCAGAGCAGTGTTTATTTTATTATCATTGATAATAAATTAATATTTTCAATTTTGTGTCTTCGATTTTCATTCTAATTTTTACGGAAGAGGATTAGGGCAAAGCAATAATAAAAAAATAAAACCATCTCAAGATTAAAGTCATTATAATGCGAAATGAACTGAGAATTGAGAATAAACTCAATAAATAGAGAATAAAGTCGTTGTGTTTCGATAAAAAACTTGTTAAATTTCGAGAATAAAGTCGTTGTGTTTATTCTCGAAATTTAATGAGTTTATTCTCAAGATTGTATTTCGATTTTTTTTTCTCAAAATTTAACGAGTTTTTTCTCGAAACACAACGACTTTATTCTAGAAATGTAATGAGTTTATTCTCAAGATTGTATTTCGACTTTTTTCTCTCAAAATCTAACAAGTTTAATTTCGCATTATAATGACTTTAATCTCGAGATGGTTTTATTTTTTTATTATTGCTTGGCCCTAATCCTCTTCCGTAAATTTTAGTTAAAGTTTTAGTAATTTTTATTAGTTATGTATACATAGTTTTTATTCATTTTTATTTCAGTTTTAGTTATTTCAGTAAATCAAGTTAAACTACATGAAAAAAATATATAATTTAGTTTGTTTTTTCATGGTTTTAGTGAACTTTATCTAAGCACCTGGTGATATCCTCAGAAAGCTGCGCCGGATCGGGAGGATAAAACTTCACGTTGAAGGCAAAGTTCCAGGGACCAGCTGAAAAACACGAAAAACAACTTATTGTAAGAACTTGAGGACGTTCGGATGGAGACGATGAGCGTGTCTGTCAGGAAAAGACGCACCACTGATCAGCTTCTTGATCTCCTTGGACGTGTCCAGCCAGTTCTGTGGGGAAAACAGGAGGTTTGTCACTGAACAAATAATAACTGAGACGTGAAATCAGAGGAATACGAGCAAACAAACACCTTCGGGCTTTCAGCGTCCCGGTACGTAATACCGAAATAATCCTTCTCCAGAAGATTCAGGTGGTCGCAGACCTTCTCGAACAGCACCTGACCTATCGCTCGCTTCTGTGGACAACAAACAGACACAGAGACTCATTCATTCGGGTTAACGAGGAAGCGCAAAAACGCAAAACAATAAAAGTCCCCCTGTAGTCAATCATTTCATCCCTTAAAACTCACCAAAATAACATATTTAAGTGTTTTCTCCTTGAAAAAAATCTTCATGTCTTAAAATAGCTTGAATGTAACTCGACACCCTTGCCTCATTTAGTATGCGTGGTTCTATGAATATGCAAATTAACTTTTTTGAACTGGAAGAAGTCTCTCTTTTGCCCAAGTTAGAGTTCGTCATCTACTGCTCTTTGATTTATTTGGTAAATAAAGATTTAACCCACAGCAATGAAGGTGGATTAGCAATTAATACCTATTCTCCTCATATTCTCCATTGTTGCGGCTCCTCTCTTCCCAGTCTGTCAGTAACGCTCTGTTTACTTCCTGTCTCTATGAAGCCCCTCCTCCTGAAAAGCACACTGTGCTCTGATTGGTCGGCTGGAGCAGTGTGTTGTGATTGGTCGAGTGCTTCGAGTGTGTTTGGGAAATGCCCCGCCCCTTTCCATAACCGCCAGTTTAACACACTACTGACTAACTCAACCAGGCCCCGCCCCTTTATTCTGCGCATTAATTATTATAATGAGGAATATTGAGACGTGTTCGTTCCCGGGAGAAACTCGAGACTACAGTGGAGGCGTTTCAGGAGTTCAGAAACACTGACTCTGATATAGAGAAGAACTGGAGCTTTCTCATGATCAAACAGCAACATCACACACACACACAGATGAACACAAGCTCCTTTAACAAGTTAACTCACCAACAAAAACTGACGTTCTGCTGTGATTTCGGTCTGTGAACTAATCAGTACTTAAAAATCCTGTATTTACACTATTTTCCATGTGCATCTGTGTGTGACTGAACATCCAGTACACAGACAGCTCTGGTATGCCATACTTCATGCCACTGCTTTTACTCGTGCCAAAATAGGAATAAGCTAAAAATAAAAGTGCTTGTGATGTGACAAGTGTGTGTGTGCTCTCAAACTCTTGATAAACGACAGGCGGTGCAGTTATACACACTGTGGACGTGTGCCGACACGCCGTTTCACGCCTCGGTCTTACACTTCCTCAGCATTTCTGAGCAAGGATCTGAACTTACACGGTTAGGTTGTTGCAGAAGTGAAAGCAAAATGAAAGTGTAAAAAGCTTTAGAGGTTCAGGTTTAAAGTCTGCTTACATGGGAAGGCAACGCATGTACAATGTCAGGATTCATTTTCAGCGTTCAAGCTTTCAAGTGATACCTCATTTTCTCATGCCATCCATATTAAAACCATTAAACATAACTATACTGTCATAATTCATCAACACAACGGTATATCAAAGCAACTGCGGTGCATAAATGTAGGATATTCAGTGATTTTTTACTTTGAAAAGCGCAACGCTCACATTTATTGCACTGAATCATTGCCTTTTCAAGTTTAATAATCATATTAAGCCTCGTCACGATTCCTGATTTTCCGACCGCAACTTTAAGATCTCTTGATATTATAATTTAGACTTTTCTTGTACTATTTATGATTTTTAAGACTTTTAATGACCTTAAATTGGATCAAACTTTATGACTTTCGAAATATTTCGAGATTAAAGTTAAAACCGCAACGTAAAAAAAAAAAAAAAAAAAAAAAAAATCAGTAAAAAAAAAAAAAAAAACTAGCATTTCGAGATTAAAGTCGAAACATTTCGAGATTAAAGTCGAAACATTACGATAATACAGTCTTCCATAGAAGTGTGTGCATTCATAACAGTGCGCGTCCACTGGCTCAGAGCGCGCGTGTGTGTGTGTGTTATCTGGGCTTTCAACAAAATTCTACACAGGTGCTAATCTACCAACAAGAATTACCATGGCGTTGCCTATAGACGAGCACACAGACTCCGCCGGAGTATCACAATGGTCCAAACTTTATGTGGCAGTGTTTTTTAAATGTTTTCGTGCTCGTCTAGGCAACACTATCTGGGTCGAGAACACAACAGTAACCGTTCTGTCTCCCTCTTCACCGTAAATACGTTCTGGATACATTTTATCATTCCGTATCCAATCATTTGGCCGGATCCCGTGATTTCCTCAGATTTAATAACCACTAATGGAGGTTGAGGAGAGATTCTCTGATATGATTGTAAAGCGCTTTGAGTGTAGGCCTAGTAGACATATGAAAGCGCTATATAAATGCCTCATTCATTCATTAAGCTGGATATCTCCATCCAGTCTGAGAAGTGTTTTCCGGGTTGGTTTTCCTATAGGCTAAAGTCTATTCCGGCGCAGTATATTTTATAACATCCTATAATGGTAGCCTAATGCTGGTAGATTGGCACCTGTTGAATTTCCTTTTGTTGAAACAAAACACACACACACACACACACAGTGTGAAACACTCGCTATGCACCATAATGAATGCCTGTGTGTGCGGCCATGTGAAACAATGCGAAACGTTGCGGTTTCGACTTTAATCTCAAAATATTACGACTTTAATCTCGAAATGCTATGTTTTTTGTTGTTTTTTTGCTGATTTTTTTTTTTTTTTTTTTTTACGTTGCGGTTCAGGGCTTCCGTACTATCATGCTGTAGTTTTTAATCAATATTTTGAATTTTATTTGTATAGTTTTCATTTTAAATGTAAAGTTTAAAAAAAGTCAATTCATTTGTATTCCAGCTTTAGTTATTTTAGTACATAAAGTTAAACTTTTTAGTTTTTGTTTTTTATATACTTACTCGAGCCCAACAAACCTGAAGCACATTTAAAATCATAAAGCGGAGTTTTCCCCCACAAAATACATACATTTGGCCGCGATTTGGACAAATATAGCAAATCTTATTATCTAAAGGCTAAAATCTGAAGTATTTGATCGTTAGTTTGACATGTTCACCGACAGCCGATTAATGAGCGTTGCGATCAAATTTTACCTCAGACGAAATTCTGGCAGTGTCAGAAGAATTGACTCTAAGTCCTGCAGTGACTCTCCTACGACAACCGTCAAATAGTTTTTCAAGACAAGCCATGACCAAAATTAATGTTAGAGATTTCTTTGTAGCCACCGTTTCAGTCCCACGTGTAACGCAGATTACATCACTGAACGCGTCAGAGATTGATAATGTAAAACTCCAGACAAGTTTTCTTGTGTCGTACAGTCTGACATTAATAACAACCGATATCTTACAGTCTGACATTAATGACAACCGATATCTTACAGTCTGACATTAATAACAACCGATATCTTACAGTCTGACATTAATGACAACCGATATCTTACAGTCTGACATTAATGACAACCGATATCTTACAGTCTGACATTAATGACAACCGATATCTTACAGTCTGACATTAATGACAACCGATATCTTACAGTCTGACATTAATGACAACCGATATCTTACAGTCTGACATTAATGACAACCGATATCTTAGTCTGACATTAATGACAACCGATATCTTACAGTCTGACATTAATGACAACCGATATCTTACAGTCTGACATTAATGACAACCGATATCTTACAGTCTGACATTAATGACAACCGATATCTTACAGTCTGACATTAATAACAACCGATATCTTACAGTCTGACATTAATGACAACCGATATCTTAGTCTGACATTAATGACAACCGATATCTTACAGTCTGACATTAATGACAACCGATATCTTAGTCTGACATTAATGACAACCGATATCTTACAGTCTGACATTAATGACAACCGATATCTTAGTCTGACATTAATGACAACCGATATCGTACAGTCTGACATTAATGACAACCGATATCTTAGTCTGACATTAATGACAACCGATATCTTACAGTCTGACATTAATTACAACCGATATCTTAGTCTGACATTAATGACAACCGATATCTTACAGTCTGACATTAATGACAACCGATATCTTACAGTCTGACATTAATAACAACCGATATCTTAGTCTGACATTAATGACAATCGATATCTTACAGTCTGACATTAATGACAACCGATATCGTACAGTCTGACATTAATTACAACCGATATCTTAGTCTGACATTAATGACAACCGATATCTTACAGTCTGACATTAATGACAACCGATATCTTACAGTCTGACATTAATGACAACCGATATCTTAGTCTGACATTTATGCCAAACCGATATCTTACAGTCTGACATTAATGACAACCGATATCTTAGTCTGACATTTATGACAACCGATATCTTACAGTCTGACATTAATGACAACCGATATCTTACAGTCTGACATTAATAACAACCGATATCTTACAGTCTGACATTAATGACAACCGATATCTTAGTCTGACATTAATGACAACCGATATCTTACAGTCTGACATTAATGACAACCGATATCTTACAGTCTGACATTAATAACAACCGATATCTTACAGTCTGACATTAATGACAACCGATATCTTAGTCTGACATTAATGACAACCGATATCTTAGTCTGACATTAATGACAACCGATATCTTACAGTCTGACATTAATGACAACCGATATCTTAGTCTGACATTAATGACAACCGATATCTTAGTCTGACATTAATGACAACCGATATCTTACAGTCTGACATTAATGACAACCGATATCTTAGTCTGACATTTATGCCAAACCGATATCTTACAGTCTGACATTAATGACAACCGATATCTTAGTCTGACATTTATGACAACCGATATCTTACAGTCTGACATTAATGACAACCGATATCTTACAGTCTGACATTAATAACAACCGATATCTTAGTCTGACATTAATGACAACCGATATCGTACAGTCTGACATTAATGACAACCGATATCTTACAGTCTGACATTAATGACAACCGATATCTTACAGTCTGACATTAATGACAACCGATATCTTACAGTCTGACATTAATAACAACCGATATCTTAGTCTGACATTAATGACAATCGATATCTTACAGTCTGACATTAATGACAACCGATATCGTACAGTCTGACATTAATTACAACCGATATCTTAGTCTGACATTAATGACAACCGATATCTTAGTCTGACATTAATGACAACCGATATCTTACAGTCTGACATTAATTACAACCGATATCTTAGTCTGACATTAATGACAACCGATATCGTACAGTCTGACATTAATGACAACCGATATCTTACAGTCTGACATTAATGACAACCGATATCTTAGTCTGACATTTATGGCAACTGATATCTTACAGTCTGACATTAATGACAACCGATATCTTACAGTCTGACATTAATGACAACCGATATCTTACAGTGTGACATGGCTTACAGCGAGGATCATTTTCATACAGTCTGACAAGCAACAGTCATAAAGAACGATGATAAATCCCCTAAACTCCCATCATCCTCACCTCCAGCGTGCAGGTGTAGTCCGTGCCGTCCAGAAGCGTGACCTTACACTCCATGACCTTCAGTCTGTGGCTCCTGCGTAACGCTGACCAGGACACTCGGCTGCTCACGGACTTCTGGGAAATGTAGTCGTCCTCCTGCTGTCTGACTTCTGATTGGCTCTGCAGAAACACAGCAAAATGAGTTTAGATTCAGATTGTTTTATTTAGTGCTATGTCAGCATCCAAGGCTATTTTCATGGCAAAAATTAAATTACAAAAATACAAATATCATATAAATACAATAAAAACAAAACAAACAAAAAACAGTCATATTATACAAGATGTTTTAAATTAACATATTATACAAAATCCAAAACCTTTTCAGACATAATCTTACTAAATAAGTCCTTAAGTGAGGTAACTTTTTTTTTTCTTTGCTGTCTACCCCTCTTATTTTAATTTCTTGTTCTGTGTGTCATGTGTTATGACTATGTACAGTTGTACAGCATGTTTCTATTTATTTCTGTAGCCTCCCGGATAAATAGAGGTTAAATAAATAAATAAACTTCATAAAAAAGCATTCTACTTGTATTAAGTCCAGGACACAAAATGAGTTTGTTAAGAGTTCAAATCACTAAATCATTGTTATTTTAGTATCACAGAGATACTATTATAGTTTTAAGTCGCCCTGTGGTGAAAATCCAGCTTTTAAATGTTGTTTATGTGTCTATATGGTGTTTTTAATACGCTTTAACACAAACCATGTGTAAGTTCATAAGTCGACAGCATTGCTGAGTATTTTCTGCTTAAAACTGCAGTGAACCAAAGACAGTCTCAAAAACACGGTTTGAAATCGCTGGTGTTTCTGACGTCACAAACGACCTTGTAACCAATCAGATCAACGTGTGATCGTCAACCAGTGGATCTCTGAGCTGAGTGAGTGAGTGGAGGCGGGGCTCATTTGCATATTCATAGAACCACGCATACTAAATGAGGCGAAGGTGTCGAGTTACATTCAAGATATTTTAAGGCATGAAGACATTTTTTTCCCCAAGGAAAAAGCTGACAAAAATGTCATCTTGGTGATCAAAGATGAGTTTTAAGGGATAAAATTATTGACTATGGGGGACTTTAATTGTTTGAATTGAGGCCCATTCACACAAAGAACGATAAATATAACAATACAGTTCTAAAAATGGTTCCTTATATAAAGAACAGCACAACTATAACGATAACAGCACAGAGACTATATCACTGGAATCACTTTGAGAATAATTTTTTCCCAGCTAATGGACGATAAAAACATTGACAGCCAATCAGAATTCATCCTACTTTAAAGAGATCGAGCATTTAAAGAGACAGATGACAAAAAAATATATATATATAATAATAATAATAATATTATAATATATATATATATATATATATATTTTATAATTCAGACATGTTCCTGAACAGAATAATTTCATAACCTTCTTGACGGCAGTCTCATGTCACGGCTTCCTTTCAGAGGCTGATGCTGCTATTTCCATCGTCCAGGTTTATATCAGCGCTTTGCCATGAATAGATTTTCATCATTAAATCACGTTACATAATCTCTGTTACCTACTTTCTAGAAAGATCCTGAAACCCTCCCTGGGATTACATCTGTAAATCCACAGAGATACAGTACAGATACTGTAAGAATTGAGAAATTAGAAAATGCCGGGCAGTGTGGATGAGGAACGCCGACTCCCAGAGAAGACAACGGACCTTTCTCCAAATTAACATTTGACTCTCTCTTGAGAAACTATCATCCCGACCGAGTCAATCACCTCTCCCATGTCGTCTCTCTCTCAACACGGTTTAATGTGAATAATCATCATACAGTATTACACATGTTTGGTATCATTTGAAATGTCTCAGTGCGACTGGTGCAAATGTCTCATTCCCACAGAAGTAAACCAAAAGGTAATAAAGTTGTTAAGAGTTTAGAGATAACTGGCACACAGAGGAGTGTGTGTCCTCCAGGCAAATGGCATCTGGCTCCCAAAAGGTGCAAACTCTGAATGCAAATCCCCATCGTTAGCACATGTTTCCATGAGAATGTATATAGAGAAATGCAACAAGAGGCTCAGGGCGATTTGTAACTCAAATTAGCCCGTGATGCGGAGTGTGTGTAAGACACTACGCATCATGTATTTTCTAATGTCAGATTCGCATCTTTTCTCTTTATTCCAGAGCATTTGATGTTTTGTATTTATTATCTTTGAACTGATTATGAAATTGGCATGATACATTTACCTGGCATAATAAATTGTAAACATTTGGTTTTTATTCTGACTGACTCTGAAATCGTAGATTAAACGGATTCGTATGTTACCGCAAGTCTGCGTCAGATTAGTGATGACTAATATTTAGCACTATTTCAAGTGTACTTGGTTCGCAAAGACAAGTAAATTGCTGTTTAGGGCAGCACAAATGATGCTTGACCAATCCAAATCTGGGTGTGTCTTACCTCCATTTTAATTTAATATTACTTTAGATAAGTGTACATTAGGGATGCACGATGATATCGGGACAACATCGGTATCGGCCGATAAAAGCTTAAAATGACCATCATCGGCATCGGCCGATATGAATATTTCTGCCGATGAGTCTTGCCGATAGGGTGGCGTGTTTCCTATGCGCACGTGACGCGAACGAAGCATGAGCGCCAGCAACTTAAACTTCCAACTAGGAGTGTGCGTCTCACGCGGTTTTTGATCGTGGACGATTAAAATGTCTCCACGATCTGCTTTTGAAGAAAAATCATAGTATCGTGCATTCTATCAGTTCAATTCTGGCGCCTTCATCTCAACATACTGTACAACGCGACGCACATTCACATCACATGTAAACGCAGAGGTAGAGTTACACTCACGGGACACTGCAATTCACAAAAGTTCATTGTTTGCATGTGCGTCAAAGTCTTGCTAGGTAAACATGTCATTCACGTGCTGATGCGCTGTTCTAACATCCGCTTTTCTGAGCGCGTTACACCCGACGCTCACAGGAACTAAAAGCCTGTCACAGCGCCTGCATACTGGACTAATCTTTCGAGTCTTATTGCGCTGATACTGTCAAATACACACAAGGTTTACATAAACAAAGTTGGTTATGTCTAAAGTGAAAGCAAACAGAGAAAATCTGCTTGTCAAATGCGTGTATATTAGACGCGTCGCGTTACTCGCGTGCAGTTCTTAAAGAGACAGTAATAATATTCTGCCGCTTGTCTTTAAAGAGATACTGCACCCAGAAATAAAAATTCTGTCTATCTAATGTTGTTTCAAACCTGGATTCATTTCTTTCTTGTGCTTAAATATACTATGGAAGTCACTGAAGTACAGCAACTGTTTGGTTAGCCACATTCTTCCAAATAACTTTTATAATTTCAACAGAAGAAAGAAACTTGAGAGAGTAAATGATGACAATTTAAATTTTTGGGAGAACTATCCCGTTAATGTTAATAAAACAACAAAACACAGAGGAAATCACTCACTGCTCTTGACTGAGAACATTAATAGAAGCTTTAATAAGCTTTTTTTGCACTTAAAAAAAAATACAAATATATCGGTATCGGCATCGGGCAAAATTAGTTTGAAAATATCGGCATATCGAATATCGGCCAAAATCCTATATCGTGCATCCCTAGTGTACATGGGAAACCAAGGCATGGCCAATCCAAAGCTATTATAAGAGAAGTGAAGTTGGTCGACTTATCTGTAGTAATGGCCATACCTCTACTGAAGTAAACGTTACGTTAAATTCAAGAGTATACGAAACCACGGGGGCTATACCAGAGTATCTTTGATTGTGTAAGCGTGAACCGCGACCATCTCAGGTATATAGCCAATTACCTCTGTTTAATGACCAAAACTGACGAGCTTGTGATCGTGAGACCCGCGTTAAACAAGGCGTGAGAACCTCAGAGCGACATAGCTTCCTAATATGAACGGGTAATATAAGTAAAGAGTTAAAAAGAATAATCAAACATTCGCTCACATTTAATGATGCTCAGATATCATTAAAACATTTTTCCTTTATGGAGTCAGATGAAATAACGAGGTAATACATATGAGAAAATGTATTTCATTTAATATTGTTGTGTTGAGAAAAAGCAAAAACAGTAACATCGGAAACCGCCATTGGGCCAATCTAGATAGGGTCAAATGCAAAAAATATTATCAGTGCTTATTTTTTCACTACATGTCTTTAGTAAATCCTAACCGTAGTTTTAAATGCCAAAAGAGGCTTTGCGCTGGTGCAAGATGTTAGTCTTAGATACGGAATATCACAGACATATATGTTGAGCTCGTGAACACAATGGCCAATCACAGACATATATGTTGAGCTCGTGAACACAATGGCCAATCACAGACATATATGTTGAGCTCGTGAACACAATGGCCAATCCCAGACATATATGTTGAGCTCGTGAACACAATGGCCAATCACAGACATATATGTTGAGCGTGTGAACACAATGGCCAATCACAGACATATATGTTGAGCTCGTGAACACAATGGCCAATCACAGACATATATGTTGAGCTCGTGAACACAATGGCCAATCACAGACATATATGTTGAGCGTGTGAACACAATGGCCAATCACAGACATATATGTTGAGCTCGTGAACACAATGGCCAATCACAGACATATATGTTGAGCTCGTGAACACAATGGCCAATCCCAGACATATATGTTGAGCTCGTGTACACAATGGCCAATCACAGACATATATGTTGAGTGTGTGGCCAATCACAGACATATATGTGGCCAATCACAGACATATATGTTGAGTGTGTGGCCAATCACAGACATACATGTGGCCAATCACAGACATATATGTTGAGTGTGTGAACACAATGGCCAATCACAGACATATGTTGAGCTCGTGAACACAATGGCCAATCACAGACATATGTTGAGCGTGTGAACACAATGGCCAATCACAGACATATGTTGAGCGTGTGAACACAATGGCCAATCACAGACATATGTTGAGCTCGTGAACACAATGGCCAATCACAGACATATGTTGAGCGTGTGAACACAATGGCCAATCACAGACATATGTTGAGCTCGTGAACACAATGGCCAATCACAGACATATGTTGAGCGTGTGAACACAATGGCCAATCACAGACATATGTTG